TGCCTGCGGCCTAGGCCGCGGGTGTCACGTAGGACTCAGCCATTTTGGCAAACATTTACGAGCCCAACGAATCTGACCCTTTACAACAAGCAACAAGAAAATGAGACGGAGTAGCTTATCAATAGCCTTATCAACACAAACAGACACACAAAGAGTATGAGTACGAAACCAACAGATACTCCGAAGTTGTGAGATCGACAAGGATCTTCACAGTTCGTCCGTCGTCAGGGACAGTACCGGTCCCGAACGCCAGTGCCGAGACCACGCTTGGTCTCGGGCCCCCGCACCAGAGCTCGTACCACACAATGTACAGGGCCCACACGCTAGCACCGATACTGTCAGGACGTTGTTGGGTCAGCGCTAAGCGCCCACACGTAACACACTTTTTGCCGACATTGGAGGCGATGCGGGAAAAACCGCCCCAACACCGCGTCTGCCCTCCAATCGACTTTGACTTTTCATACCCTACCTTCTTCCCCCGAATWCAACGTACGATCATTATAGTTGTATTTGAGGCATCTTTCAGTCTATATACAACTATAATAAATGTATGCTATATTCGGGGGAAGAAGGTAGGCTACAGTGCTCTACTTCGACTCACTTCTACGCAGCTATGCACGACTACGCCTTCGCTCTACGTTGGACACACGAGCGCCCACACACACACGCACACACACACACACACACGCACACACGCACACACACACACACACGCACGCGCACACGCATGCACGGACGAACAAACGCACACGCACATGCACTCACTCACTTAAACACACACACACACACACACACACACACACACACACACACACACACACACACACACACACACACATTATGACACATACACGCGCGCCCGAGGGCGCGCGCGCGGACACATACGCACTCTCTCTCTCTCTCTCTTTCTTAGTTCCAAGACCATAAAAAACGAAACAAACAGACATGAGTAAAGAACTCACTGTCACTCATGAACGTGCGGTAGTTCAAAAGCCTTGACGCTGCACAGCTCAAGCCTCAACGTCTAACATTTAGGATGCATAGATGGTTGTCCTGGGTGGGTGTGTTTGTGTGTGTGTGTGYAYGTGCGTGTATGTGTGTATGTGTGTGTGCGTGTGTGTGGGTGTTGGGTGTGTGTTCTAAGTGAGTGAGTCTGAGTATGTGTGAGTGTTGTTTTGTTCAGTATTCAAAATTCACAAAATGACTCAACTAGACTGTGTCGTCATACTTCAACTGACCCATCAGAAGGCTGAGCCCCAATAGTCTGCCCAAGATTTACTGTAGTGATGGTGAAGGGTGGGGGATATTGAGGGTAACTCCCCATAATTTTTTCAATTTTTTTTTTTCACGAATAATACATATTTTTATTTAAAAACGAAAAAACAAAAATGCAACCAGCCGAAATAAGTATTTTCGTTTACTATTTTGTAGGATATTTCAATTTTCTTTTATTTTTTCAACATCATCACGCTGTGGGGATTGAGGCGACTGTAGCTAAGTGAGCCCTCTCCCCGCGTCCCCCCCCCCCCCCCCCCCCCCCCGAAAAAAAAAAAAAAAAAAACACTCTTTCGTGGTTGGCCCCTTCACCATGAACGGCCATTCACAAAAAAAACGCCAAATGAACGGCCGGTCACATTGACGGGTCCAACACTGATCGGGACCACTAAAGCAAATTAAAAAATAATGATAAATCTGCAAGGGTGCGCGGAACCATCGAAAAAAGGAAGAAGGAAAATCCGGACGAGCGCGTGCGCCGTGCCCGTAAGAGAGAGAGAGAAAGAGAGAGAGAGAGTCAGCATTCGTTGAGACGGGACCTAGCAATGACGGACGAAAAGTGCAGTAAATAGGATTGCATCGTTGTGGTCGGCAGGTGCGCCGTTCTATTCTGCACAACCTTCCCCTTGCACGTCAGAAGACAGCGCA